CGACAGACTTTCTCTGTGTAGCTTTGGAGCCTGTCCTAGAACTCACTCTGTAGACCAGGATGGCCTTGAACTCACAGAGATCCATCTGCCTCTGCCTCCTGAGTACTGAGACTAAAGGCGTACACTGCCCCCCACCCAGCAATTACAGCATTTTTTATATATTCTGTGTGTTAAGTTTATTTACTGACTTTTTTTTTCTTTTTGGTTTAGGGTTCACCAGTAAAGCCAATACCTGTTAGAGGATTTCAAAAAACAGAAGACATGAAAAGATACTCACATCAAAACAGGTTTGAAAAAGCAACTTAGTTCTTTCTTCTTGAAACTCAGTCATGAGACTGAATTGGTTTTGGTTTTGGGCAAATCCAAATATAGGGAAGACACTTGGCTTGTGTGTGCTTCCCATACCGTGTGTGTGTGTGTGTGTGTGTGTGTGTGTGTGTGTGTGTGTGTGTGTGTGTGTGTGTTTTCATTCTCACTTCAATGTATGCTGTCTCTCCATGGTACTTAGAGTCTCCATAGTTCTAAAATTAGCTCAGTGCTGTTTTCACTCCAGAATTCTAACATGTTCCTGACTATAAATTGTATCACAGGAGTTAATTTTTTTTTTCACTCTTTGGTCTTTGTGTATGAAATCTTAAAAACAGTAGGCTGAATATATCTGTTCTTTTTTTTTGTTTTTGTTTTTGTTTTTCAAGTCCGGGTTTCACTGTGTAGCTCTGGCTGTCCTATAACTCAATCTGTAGACCAGGCTGGCCTTGAACTCAGAGATACACCTGCCTCTGCCTCATGGAATCAAAGGCATGTACCACCAGACTCAGCTGATATGTCTGTTCTTAAACGACAGTGATTTTACTATATGCCACCAGTCATCCACCTATAGGTCTTTATACCAAACAACATGCTTATGTCGTCTTAGGAACTATGATGTAGACGAAATAAAGAAAATGTAGGAAGAATAATGAATAAGAAAAAAATTTAATTTATGTGCATTGGTCTTTTGCCATGGGTGTTGGGTCCCCTGAAACTGAAGAAACACAGACAGTTGTGAGCTGCCATGTGGGTGCTGGGACTCAAACTCAGTTCCTCTCGAAGAGCAGTCAGTGCTCTTAACTGAGCCGTCTCTCCAGCCCTGAATATGAAAATTTCATAACTTGGCCTTTCATATTCATCACTTATTTCTTAGAGGTTAAGTTTTATATACTTTGAAATTTATCTCAGGATGGATATGGTCATTTTCTATAATTGCCTATTAGGCACACACTTTAGTAAACAGTTAGATACACAAGAGATATGGAGAACTTGGAGCTTAAACACCTGGCAAAAGAGCCTGAGCAGGAGTGCTCATAGGAATGGAAGACAGAGGACAATGTCTGGAAGGTCAAGATTGCAAAGATGATTTTAAAAATAGAGAAGACTTCATTCTTCCTCTGTGCGGCCTTCAAGATAGCTGCCATCTCTTTAGCAGCATCATGGCTACCCTTCAGCATCTGATGAAGCCCAAGATCGCCAAAAAGAGGACCAATAAGTTCATTTGGCACCAGTCAGACAGATGTGTCAAAATTAGGCAAAACTGGCAGAAAGCCAGATGTATTGACATTAGGGTGCAGAGATCTGGGGCCAAACTCTGGTGCCAGCATCAGTTACAGGAGCAACAGCATGCTCTCCAGTGGCTTCTGGGAGTTCCTGGTCCACAGTGGCTAGGAGCTGGAAGTGCTGCTGATGTACAACAGACCTTACTGTGCTGAGGTCGCTCACAGCGTTCCCTCCAAGACCACAAAGTAGAAAGGGCAGCACAGCCGGCCATTAGTCTGCAGTCCTAACGCCAGGCTGCACAGCAGAGAAAATGCATAGATAAATCAAACACCGAAACTGCACAGAAGAAAGAGAGACGAGGAGGTGCCTCATATCACAGACGCCCTGGGCTGGGTGAGGACCAGGCCTGCTGCTGCTGCCTTACAGTGTTCACCACAGGCGGAGAGAGCTTCGCTGCTCAAGTGGCCCAGGGAACGTAAACCTTACAAAATGGAGACTGGGTTAGCCTGGTTTCCTAAAAGAAAGTCAAGTATAAAAGGATGGTAAAGAAATACGGTAGGAGCTGAGCACAGGCCTGAATCCCAGGCACTCGGGGCCTGGGGTAAAAGGATTGAAAGTTCAATGCTAGCTTAGACAACATAGTCAGACTGTCTCCAAATGTGTAAAAGAAGGCAGGCCTAAAAACGCGTGCAGTGTTGGAGTCCTTCCCTAGCTTCGGTTTGAAAAATGAGAGCACTCGGGTAGGACTAGGTATATATTAATGATTCAGAATGATTCAGGGGGGAACACACAGGCCTGCTGGGGATGGGTCTAAGTGGTCCTTCCTTTGTTTGGCTTCAGCTCATCCACAGATGGCTAATAAAAGCTGAAGGAAGTTTCCGCCATCACAGTAGGAAAGCTGGGACAAAGATGTCATTAATTCCTGTCATCCTAAACATGTAGTTATTGCAGTATGTTTTTATGGTCTATGAGGACCTGTAGTATCTTTTGTGTGTGAATGAACATGTATGTTTGGGGGATGCAGTGTGGATCCAGGTGTACATGCACATGTGTGTGCATGCATGCAGAGGCCAAACAAGGTGTTGTTCCCCAGGAACACATTCAGCTTATTTTGAGACAGGGTCTCTGGCTGTCCTGGGATTCTCCATTTGCTGATTAGACAAGCTGGCTGGCTACAAGCCTCAGAGATCCTGTGTCTACCTCTCCAAAACCAGGATTATAAGCGTTCACCACTGTTTATGTGTGTTCTGGGGGCTGAACTCAGTTTCCAGTGCTTACTTTGCAAATAATTTACCAACCCAGCCACCTCCCCAGTCCTGCAGTATCTTATTTAGTTTTAATAACCTATCATAGAGGTACATGTAATTATCCTAACTTTATTAATGAAGATGTTGAAGCCCAGCAGACTTTAGTAGCTTTCATAATTCATTGGGTTTATAACAATATATAGGAATTATTAATTATCAGATTATTCCCAAAGCAAATATAGGCAATGCTCATATACTAAGGATATTCTAATAAGTATATATATAATTATTAAATATATTATATATAATTATAGATATAACTAATAATTATCAGATTATTCCCTAAGCAAATATTAGGAAGTACTCATACACTAAGGATATTCCCTATTGCCTCTGTTACTTTTTTTAGAGATGGATGTCTTGGATGTGGGTCTAAGTAGCAAAGGCCAAATGAAGCTGTCTGGAGAGTAGGCATTTACCAGTAACAAAAGTGGAGAGAAATTGAACAGCAATGTCAATTAAATTTTTGCTTGCTTTTTAGTTTTAAATTGAATCCTTGTTTTTGGTTTGTTGGTTTGTTTGTTTGTTTAGTGTGTATGTGTGTGTGTGTGTGTGTGTGTGTGTGTGTGTGTGTGTGTGTGTGTGTGTGTTCCATATATGTCAGGCTTAGTGACAAGCATCTTTTCTACTGAGCTGCATTACTGTTGTGTTACAGCTCTGAGGGAAAAGGTATCCTGGCAGTTGGGAGCCAAGGAATACCACAGAGTCACACCACATAATAAACTTCACACAAGAGATTTATTGGGAAAGACCCAGGAGGTAGGGTGGCCACCTCTCCATGGGAGAGAAGCAGCAAAGAACTGGACAGGAAGCAGGCTTTATGTAGAGTTTCTTTCTTTTTTTTTTTTTTTTTTCTTTTTTTTTTTTTTTTTTTTTTGGTTTTTCGAGACAGGGTTTCTCTGTAGCTTTGCACCTTTCCTGGAACTCCCTTTGTAGAACAGGCTGCCCTCGAACTCACAGAGATCCACCTGCCTCTGCCTCCCGAGTGCTGGGATTAAAGGCGTGCGCCACCAGTGCCTGGTTTATGTAGAGTTTCTTATGGGGCAGGGCTTTCCAGAATGGCCTGAGATTGGAGGGATTTTGTGGCCTGATCTTGGAACAAGCTCAGGGATTGGTGGGATTTTGTGACCTGATCTTGGGCTTTTTCTTTTTTTCATTTAGGGCGGGATCTGGCTACTCTCTTGCTTTGAGGGGCTCAAAATGGCCCCTATGACCATTAGAGAAGTCTAAGGATGGGGACCCCAGAGTCAGTCATAATAATAATAAAAGAATTCTGGAAGTATAAAGTAGGCCAGTGTTCCACAACAAAATTCAGCACTACTCCTTAGAGGCTATTTGAAAAGGTATTTATTCCTTATGGGAATCAGTTCCCAAAATGACTGCAGGTGCTACTATTAGATCTAAGGCTGAGCCACCTCTAATATGTGGGACATTCTTAAGAATTATCTTATGTGAAATGTAAGTGATACTACTGTCTAGACACATCCTCAAATGAAAAAGTCATGTGACATGAAGTGTGACAGTGACACACCAGCAGGAACCAGGCTGTAGTACGTACGCCAAGTGATGCTGTAGGACAGCTAACATCTTCACTGGCTCTTGAATCAACTGAGCTTCCCTCTTGCTCTCCATCTTTAACTTCTCACAGCTTAGTTGTTGACATTACAGGTCCGTGTTTCTTCAGTGTGTATAGTGCTCCACTTTTAAGTCCCAGAGCACTTCCCTTTCTCATTGTCTCTGTGTTGAGTGGGGATGGTAGAGTAGGAGGAGCTCTAGACATCTGTGTTAAGTGGGGATGATAGAGTAGGAGGAACTCTAGACTTCTCTGTATTGAGTGGGGATGATAGAGTAGGAGGAGCTCTAGACTTCTGTGTTGAGTGGGG